AAAGCAACCTTATCGCTTGGTTGCTGTTTACGAACTCGAAAACGACTGCCGCTTTGTGTCACTGTATAGACTGATGTCACGAAGTGGCCGTTATGTGACCTATCACAACCAAAGGGAGGTAAGAGCCTTCTGTACCCCTACATTTCAAAAGAAAAAAAATAAAAGTTCGCGATTTAATAAAAACCTGACTGTCGTTACTAAATCTTTTTTTGCAACCTCTACAGGTAGAGCCCACTTTCTAGAAAGTCATGTTGTTGATAATTGTGTTTTGGTCCAGTGTACAAGATCAGGACTTATTTGCCGCAAAATGGATGACCTCATTATGTATGTCATGTTCGTCAAGGGCTTGAATAAAACTTTCCCAAAAAGAGGATGCAGCGTTCTAGTCGAGTAAACGACACGTTCGTGTTTATCGTAAAAAGACTTGTACCATTCAGAAATTGAAGGCTCAAATCAAGTTTGAGGAGATTGACATCGAATTCTGCAACATGTGAGCCACTCTGTGCATTCATCACGATGGAAGGCACTTTGAATATTGCAAGTAAAACAGCTTGCGGAAGTTTGTTTTAATAATTTCCACCAGAATAAATGGTTACATAAACACATCTTTTAATGGTGGTTTTCTTTCTTGTACGTTGCAAACAAATGGCAAACAATCAACAGACAGTCTAGAAGCAAACATAAAACAAATTGGCGCTATTTTTGACTCGCTAAATATAATCGTTATCTTATTACTTAATGTTCATCCCTTATTGTAACTAATTTATAAATTAAACTTTATTAATTCTATAAAACGGACATATTGAAATTGTACATAACTAATTACAGCAATAAGCATAACGAAAGCAAGAAAAATAAAATAAATTACCGTAAAGCGGTGAATCGGTTTATCACTTTACGGTAATTTATTATACTTCCTATATTGCAAATGTCTTTACGGATAGAGAAGAACGCACTTGTATTAGAGAAGATGGTACGTACTACAACAGCGTATTATAGACGATGAGGTCATATCGGCAAACAATTGACTACAAGATACAATCCATGGAAGTTTGATATAAACAGGACCAAATGTTTTAATAGCATTAAACTTAGAAATTTAATGTCACTCAAAACAACACTTTCAGGGTAGCCATTTGCAAGAAAAATATCGGTGATTTGCTTGAGTTCGGTATCCAATTTGCATTCCGAGCATATTATTAGCGTACAGTGGGTAAGAGTTTTGATAAATTTAATCAAGAAGGGGGCACGGTGGAGTAATGGATAGCAGCTCGGATTGAGGAATCGTTCGAATTCCTGTCGAATCCATTACATTCACTTACGTGCTAATACCCTTGGGAAAGGTATGAACCATCTACCTCCATCTATGGGTAAATAGCAGGATGGTAACTGGTCTACCGCAGAAAGAAATGGCAACCTACAGCGGGAAAACATCTGCCTCGTGAGTTATGTATCGAAAGATACATGATCGCATAAGCGTGTATCACGCATGGCACATAACTGACTAAAACGTCTGTCGAAAATAATCGTACAGCATACAGGTCCAAAGCACAAAGAAAAAAACCGATACGTGTAATCATCTAACATAAAGTGCTCAATACAAAAGTAGAGCAGTCCTAGTCTCTCTCTCTCTCTCTCTCTCTCTCTATATATATATATATATATATATATATATATATATATATATATATATATATATATATATATATAAATTTTGACTTACAGCAAAATATCACATACATAAATTTTACATTAAAATCATTTGACAAATATAAACTTTCACTTGCAATTAAGTCATACTTACATACATATAGATTTTACTTACAATATAGTCGACATGAGGCTCGTACATTCCACCGATTCCATAATTTAGAACCTGTGGATCGAAAATTGTATGGTTAATAAAATCTTTTACAACTGGAAGTCTTCTGAGCAATGATTTTCAGAATAAAATTTCGTAAATCATTTCATTTCTGAGATTAAATATTTTCAACATTAACCGATTCAATTATAAAACATTTTAATATAAGACATAAGGAAATAGAACATGGAACAGGTTGCGCAAGAGATGATTTTACCAGACACCAAGAATTTTTACATAGCATTCGCTTAAATCTCATGTCATGTCTCGTCAGATCGAGACTCATATGGATGCCAGGCATTATTTTAAAATTTACGATTGGCATTGCGAGAAAGAAGAGAGAAAAGAGAAAAACTACTATATTAAGCTTAATATATAGAGAGAAGAGAAAGAGTCTGTGTTCAAATGGTTACTTTAGTTCTGAGGGTCATAGTATTTATATTTTGTTTATTGAATTTCATTTTGATTGATTAGTTTAAAAGAACTTCAATCAATGTCTTGAATTCTATAAGAAGAAAACTAAAACCTAGAAAGGAGGTATTTTTTTAAAGAAGGTGATTGCAATTAGTATTCTATATATTTATCATGCACAGGACCAGAATGGTAGCAACAGTGGATTGAATTACAGAGTAACCTTTGATGTTTGCCAATTGTATTTGATTGCTTATAAAAGGCATTTTCCCCCATAAAATTCACTCTGTGTCCTATAAATTGGAGGTTGGTGACGGGAGTTAATGTCTCTTCCAATGATTACATTCTAAATAGTTACCATAAATTTAGTACTTCTCGGTCTGTAATGAATTTGTCATACTTAAAGGTTTATAGTTGAGTTAAAAAGTTAGACATAAGTCTGGTTTATATTTGAGTCAAAAATGTAGCTGTAGGTCCGGCTTATACTTGAGTGAAAAAAAGTAGATATAGCTCTGGTTTATACTTGATGCAAAAAGATAGACATATGTTCGGTTTATACTTGATTGAAAAGCCAAACATTGGACGGGTTTATACACGAATTTGCAAGCATCCGCTCACAGCGCAAAAGATTCATATAAAGAGCATAATATGAGAAGGAATGATTATAAATTCAATTCTTAACTATTCTGAATTTAGTTATTATAGTCACCTGAAATGGCTCAGCACACGTAGCATAGACTTTGAGCTGTGTATCAAGGCCAGTGATTTTTTCAATTCTCTTCGTCAGTTTACGGATCACGCTGTCAGAATCCCAAAGCCAAGCGCTGAAAAACAAAAAGTTCCAATGCCAACATTCTCTGATAAAATAAAATAAAAACAATCAAGAAAACAATCTCGAAATTATGTACGCAAAGTTTTCAACAGAAATCCCAAGGTGTTCGCCATAAGATATTCAAATACTTTAACATAATTATACGTCGACTTACACCCGACCTGCTAATGCCTGATATCTCACCGACACGTCACCATAATTCGAAGGCGTCTTTAATAGGACTATAAGGACTAAACGCAGCTGGTCACATTGTCGAATGTAATATAAAACTGTCGCGCATGAGTGATCATCTGTCGTAGAAGTTTGTAAAGAGAATAAAAATTTACTATCGATAATCCTCGATCTATTCGGTTTACTGGAAGTAAAATGGAGACAGAACGAAAAATTAAACAAGGGACAAGGCTATACATTTATGTTTCTTTGAAGCAGTGGGTGCTCGAAAGGTATGAAATGAAAAATTGCGCACAATGCTCACTGTTTTTTGTTTGTTTGTTTTTTTATTGTTTTTTTTTATAATATCACCCCATGCAAGGCAGTAAAACCACTAAGACACAAGGGGTTATTGAGTGTGAAAGAATAAGAAAAAAGAAAAAAAAAAATTATTATGGAGTAAGAATTCAACATGACAAAGACGATGTACA